GAGGCTGCAATAAATGATGGCACGATGCGAACGCCTTGGCGTTGGGAGTTTCCGCGCCTTCTGGGGAGCTTCCCAATTAACTTGCCATTAATTTGCCAAAATTAATTCAAGTTTGAAATGCCAAGATCGAATGAAGAATGTTGTCATCGTCTTCCATAATTTTTTTGCACTCATTTTCCTCATTTTCCCCAGCGTTTATGCTCCTCATCATTTCTCGATGCACACATCACTCTGGACCCCCGGAATGCCATTACGGAATGCCCTTACGGAGAATGCCATTACGGAATGCCCTTACGGAGAATGCCATTACGGCAAGGTCACCCGAAGAGATTCATCCAAGAGTTGAACAAGTTACACAAAGAAAGCATCGAGTCGGGTCTCATAGACCGCGATGAATTCAAGAATTTACACCTAGAGTGTATCTGAGTTTCCGGACCCATATCGGCCCAACTTTGGGCCGAAATCGGACCAAATTTTTGGCCAATTTCGATCCAATTTCAGACTGATTCGGTCATGAGGACCGTGTCCCCTCGAAGCAATACGTTAGGGGGACAGGCCCAATATCAACTCAGCTCGAATGTGACTATTTCACGATGCGGGAGAATGACGCCATAAATAAATGCATGCCACCCATACGTCACCCATATGTCACCCAAACATCACCCATATGTCACCAAAACGTCACCTATATGTCATCCAGAGAGAGTTTTGCCAAAATGTCCCGGTGTAGTCGCAGAATGTTTTCTTTTAATTCCTGCAACTCGCAACTTGAGTTGACAGCTGAAGTAACTAGGGAAAAGTAATTGATTCGAATAAACTAATAATAATAAACTTCGAATAAACTTGAAGTTGCCTCCAAAGTCGAATATCGGACGAATATATGCAACAGTGAATCAGCAGCAAGCCAGGGAAGAATATTAGCGAGGAAAAGGAGCGACTCTGACGCCAGAAGAAGCGACTGGGCAGCTTGCAATTGCTGAGCAATCGATGACAGGCAATTGATATCAAGGAGCTCCAAAGCCAGCGTCGCCCAATTAGTTATCCGTAACTTGCTGCTGCCTTGTAGAGTCAGGCGCCTATGAATAAAGCGCAGAATCCAAGAAAGCCCAGAGAGAGGAAGGCCACTTGTATTACATGGTGTCATTTTCTTGCCTGTTGTCACTTTCATAATGTGCTACTTGCACGATTCACGGAATAACAATGGCAGAGCAAAAAGAAAAGGAATGAGAAAGAACGACGCAGGGAGACCTTAATCAGTCGAAATCAGCCTCGCGACTGCACTCGGCCACTCCGCGCTCTGTCGCTCTGTCCCCAGCCAGGGAGCCTCCGAACGAGAGTGCAGATGTCGCGTCCGTCCCACGCGCCATCCGCCGGCCCGGCAGTGTCTTCCCAGCCGTGGCGGCGGATGGAACGGTTGAAGAAAATCGGCAATGGGGATGAAGATTCAGCTGGTGTCAGACTTCTTGTTGTCGTGACCTTCCAGTCTCGCGGGAAATTCTTGACGTTCAGTTGATCTTTCTTCACGTGACATTGGAGCGTGGAAATACAGTGGATTCCGCTTTCTTGGGAAACGTTGGTTCCAGGTCGATTTGCCCCAGTTAAGCGGCTGCCACAATTAAGCGAACTTACCTTATAGTATAGTAAGAAACCCAGACAAGAATGTCCTTTACTTGTGCAAGAACAAAAATTACCATTCAAGAAATGTGCTCATAGTTGCTCGTTTTATACCCGAAAAAGCCTCTTTAAAGCACCAATGCGCCGTGTTCGCTATCATCCAAACCGTGCTCAATAAAGTAGCGCTGAAGGATGTCCACCGAGCGCTCTTACGTGGCCTCTTACGCGAGTCACCTTGGGTAAAGTCTCGGGCTCCTCGTCTGCGACATTCCCTTAGCAAGGACTCTCGGCAACGATGTCCTCGAAGTCATCGTGTTCGGCGAAGCACGGTGCGTTTTCTTCGATGTTGACGTTGGCTCCTCCGTTGCTGAGATCATTTATGGTCAGACCCCCGTCGTTGGCCGACGTTGGCACCTCTGGACAGGGAATAAAAGCCAGAGCCACGGAAGCTGTCTGCGATGGTCTCTGCCTTAACAGTCGGCCGGCTCTTAACCACAAAAGACGGGGCGAAGAGGAGCGAGGGAGCGGGCGGAAAAACCCATCTGGGGCCGACAGCATAAGTTAATCTCGACCTTGCCCCGATAAAGCGGATTTTCGTCCCGAATACACGGCGTTGTTCCGGGCAATCGAAAGAAAGGAAATGAACTTTCGCCCTGCGAGTTGCAAGGTCCTCCTGCATTTGACCGCATTTCCAAGGCCCTCGGCTGCATCTGGCCTCTCTCAAGCCCCGCATAGACGCTCACGACGGCTCGAATAGGAAGGAAAGCCAATAGGAAGTGGAGGGCGCGGACTCACGCACGCAGGGACACACATGGGATGGCTCGGTGGCTCGTGGTATTTCCTCAGTAGCGTCTCGTCGCCGACACTGGATGCTTGGCTTCGCTGTCCTCAGTCGACTCGTGAGTGCTTCAGTTCTTCGTCTTCCACTTGGGCAGTTGTATTGCCCGTTCCCCTCTGCAAATCATGCATGAACAGTCCTCAGAATCAGAAATCCATTAAGATGATGGGAAGCTTGGATTTTTCGCTGTTTAGCTTTCCTTTACTGGGAACTATTGACCTTAAGGGAAGATCAGTTGTTGCAGGGTTGACCATCCTTTACAGCTTTGAGAGTCGCCCCGCAATCACTCTCCCATTCGATTTCCTTGCCCTGAACATTCATCACTGTAGTATTGACCTTGGGACTTCTGTATACCATTTACACTTTTAATCTTGACCGGAGGGGGGGGGGGGGTAAGGATGTGGAAGGTTTAAAAAGGGCATATGCCTAGAGTAAAACACTAAAGCACATGACAGAAATGAGAGTAGGTCGAAATGCTCAAGGAATAAAGGCTAGGGCATTTGACCCGATGCGTCAGGAATTCAATTTGAATCTCCTCCGTATGCGAGTATGAAGTGTCGATACGCTTGCATATCCTTTGGGAATGGTCCAACCCAATATAAAATACTTTGAGGTACTTGGGGTGTACCGATGGAATCAGTGGTTCGTCCGTGAATGAAAATCCCGTTCGCCCAAGGGTTAAGGGAGGAGTGGTGAATTTCCTTGAGGGAAATCGAGGACGAGTCGGACATCTCGCCGAATAATATTGTCTTGAAGACCTTGAGAAAACGGGTAAACATCGTATCGAGTGCATCACGTGTCGTCGTGGAGAGGACCGGACAGTGGCAATAAATTTAAAACTGGAATTGAAAATTGAAATATTAATATAAAATACAATTTTTTTAAATTGCTTACGAGGAGATCTGAAGGGGTAAGAAATGGAAAGAAAAAAAAATAAAACAAAATAAAAAAACAAAGGAAAGATAGAGAAATTTTCGGGGAGTGCCATGGCAAACCAAATGCGAGTCCCTAAGCTTGTGAAATCGGCAAAGAAAAGCTGCTAAAAAAAAAAAAAAGATGACTCGTTACCCACCAAATGCATTACTTCTGCACGGAAGAAAGATCCCTTTAGTCAACAGAAAACTTTCCTGCATATTTCCCTTTTGTTTTGTCCGATTACGGTTTACCATCGCACGTGAATTCGTCGCTTCACATGTGAAAAAGCGGTCGACGACCGCTCGTGCAGCCTTGAGCACATTTTACCTTCGCCGATGTCTTAAAGGTCAATCGCATGAGTAAAAATTGACATGGTGCCATCGAAATCGGTTTTGTTTGTGTCGGACTCGTAACGGAACGAGTCCAGATCGACAGTCACCGATTAGATACCTCGTGATGGATGCTCACGGCCGGTGGCTGTTTTCCCTTTCCTCGGAGGTCCATGGATTTTCTTCCGTCTGATATATGTTCTCAGCAGTAATTACTATGTTTCATAGTAATTACTCGTGCTGTTACTCTTAATTGTTACAGTGTCTTAGAAATATGTGGTTGTAGGCGTTCAGAGGCCTCGAGGGCTGACCTTCCGACGTCGCAAGCGAGGCCCGTCGTGAATCGTCTCAGGAACGACCAGCAGTTTCGCAGAGATCCAAAAATTCGCAACCTTTCGATCTCTTGGACGCATCGATTTCTTTTGGATACTTGATTCATTTGCATCCTCAGAATTCCAAGATTCCGGATTATTCGCTGCCATAGGTAAAAGTTGGTGGTCCTTCTGATGCCGTTCCAAGTTTACTCCGCGCCCAAAAAATGAATCTTTTCCACTTCCTAATCGAGAATGAAAAGGCCAGGGAATGAAACGCAATTGGGGATTCATGCCTAATGAAAGGCCGTCTCGAAAAGGGAGGATAAAAGCCAATTGCGACGCGAGGCCATGAAAGGGCGGACCGACGGCTGGCGTGTAATCAAGTGGGACGGAATGATTGTTGGGTTTCGCGCGACCTGGGAGGGAATTGGGAATCATCCTGTCGGGGAATCCGGTTTCAAGAGTAATTTCTTCAATAGGGATCTTGTATTTAGGGGTTGAGAGGAAGTTTGAAATAAATTGAAGGTAAAAAATGCTTAATTACGGAGGACGAGTTTCCTTCATGGCAGTTGACCTTTCATTGACCTTTCATTTTCACCTGCGCCAGTAGATTTTTGCGCCACTGCTCGGTCTCCAATAGAAAAGTAATTTAAAGACAATTTTGTCCCCTCGTGTATAATTTTCCTGGAGTTATTTGGAAAAGTCGAGTGCGTGGAAGAACGTCCCATGGATCCAATGCGTCTTTTCTTATATGGGCCTCGGGGACAAAACGAGTCAAGTTTGTTGGCTGAAGCGTCACGCGCCATTGAGGAAAGTCAAACCGGATGAAATGGAACTTCATAACTCCGAGTTTTCGCGAGTTCCTGAGAAAACGGGAAGAGAAACCGCGGGCGAGAACGAGCGGAATTAGGTCCACGCCGAGTCGCGAGTCCTTGAACCAGGGGGAGGAAGGCAGGGGAGGAGGACAGAAAAGGAGGGCATGATGTATTCATGGGAGTTAGGGAGCCTCTAATCACGTCAATGGAGGGTCCACGGAGATGCACGGCCGCGCCATCACGACCGAGGGAATCCCATAATAAGCATCCATCATTGTGAGATCTCGAATTCCTCTTCAGGGACATTCTTCGAATAGGCGAAGGCGCGCGCGTGCATTAATGGCTTCTACGTCAAGTTCAAGGATGACGGATTAATGGAGGCCTTCAGCCATCGCTCTCGTTCCGATGGCTTAAAAAAAGGCATTTCCATTGAATGCTCCGATTTCAACACGAAAGGAGGGGATTTCCCCAGTTACGAGATATCATCATCCCAGGCTTCACGCTCGAAAAATAAACTTTCCCCCGAACAAATTTCTCGGGAAGTGACCGCAGCCGTTTTTTCCAGTCCATTCGACGCCATGGGAGGAATTCAGTCCACGTCCGAGGTGGAAGGCGATGTCGACGCGGATGCCCCCGATGCCCTCGGCCTCACGGCCAGGAATAAGGCGATCATCAGGAACTCATTCAAGCTGCTCCAGCCGAACTTGAAGGGTCATGGTCATGCGTTCTTCTGCCAGTGAGTCTTTTGCTTGCCTTCCATTTCATTTTCGTTTTTTAAAGGATTTGCACTGTTTGGAATCGGCAACTCATGGTGACTGGATGAGATCCTTTATTATAGAAGGACCTTGACGGATGAAGAGCGCAAAGACCCAAGGACGAGCAAGTCTAATTTATTCCCACTTTCGATCTCGACAGCCTGTTCGACACCTACCCCGAGTACCAGGACCTGTTCGTGGCCGTGAGGGGCGTGCCCCCCGAGGAGCTGAAGACGAGCAAGAAGCTGGCCGCCCACGGGCTCCTCTTCATGACCGCCGTCGATGCCGTCGTGGCCAACATGGAGGAGCAGGAGATCCTCGAGGAGCTGATGCGGAAGATGGCCGCCAGGCACAATCCGTTCGGTCTTACCAAGGCTGATTACAAGGTCCTGGGAGCTAACTTCATGAAGTATCTCGCACTTCCTCGAATATTTAATAATTTAATTTGAATTTAAATAATTTTCTGATTTTGATCATAACTTTTTTATTTTTTGCAGCGTAACTTCAATTTTAATTTTCTTAAAATTTCAGTTTCATTTTCATTCTGGTTTTGATTCAATTTAATTATTAATCTTGCTCGATTTTAATTACAAAAAAAAATATATATATATATCAATATATTATTTTGTATTGCGTTGAGCAGAAGGCAACGCGTCTGTTCGTGGATTTCTTCCTCTCCATGCCCGAAGTGGAGAAGCTGGACGTGAAGAAAGACATCCTCCTCGAGTCCTGGCAGAAATTGTTCGACGTGGCCGTGGATGTCATCGCGAAGTACATCGAGCCCAAGAACTGAATGGATGGTTTCTCCCGCTTTTGTCTACGTGTCGGTTGGTATGGCAAAGTCGAGCTGGGACGGCTGGGTAGGGACGGCTGGGTAGGGACGGCTGGGTAGGGACGGCTGGGTAGGGACGGCTGGGTAGGGACGGCTGGGTAGAGACGGGTCGGCTGGGTAGGGACGGCTGGGTAGGGACGGCTGGGTAGGGACGGCTGGGTAGGGACGGCTGGGTTTGGGAGAGGGCCGGCTTTGCAGGAAGAGTTCGTAAAGGAGTTTTGGTCTTTGTGCATTTGTGGTTCGCTTAGGATCCGACTGAATCTTTGATTTGTTCTCATTTGTACCAAAAAAACAAATAAAGTTCGCGTTTCATTGCAGACTCCAATCTTAGTTATTGTAGAAAAGGGAGAAAGAATGCTTGTGCATCCCGCTCATCCCCCTACCAAATATTTTATTTTTAATGGAAATTTTTATGTATTTATCAGATTAGCTTTTTCCATTTTTTCTTCTCATCTGCTGGATGCGGGAAACGTTTTCTCCCGTTTGTACGGATGGAAGTCGCCAAGATTTATTTCAATTCGCAGAAATTCAATTCCGCATTCTGACGCGAGAGAGAAGCGAGCAGAAAGTTCATCAGTGCCATTTCGACCGATCGGGAGGAGAATCGCGCTGTGCAATTCGCTTCAGAAATGAGATTCGGCGGAATCGCGCGGAGCCAAAAATTGTAAGATTGCCGCGCCTTTTGCGGAATTTGCAATTGAATTGCAATTTGCCTGAAGTGCCATTTTAGTACCAAGTGCGAATTTGGCAGCGTTTGCGCCGAGGGGATCCGACGATCTCGGCGTTTTCCATCGTCATCGTCCTCATCATTTTTCATTGTACTCATTGCCCTCATTTTTCATGGCATTCATTGTCCTCATCATTCCTCATTGCACTCCATCTTGTTTTGATTGCTCTCATCGTCAGCTTTTCCACCCTCTTCGCTTCGTTCACGTTCAATTAAAAAAAATTGTCGACCCGGGAGGTCGCTCTGCGACGAACCTCCCACGTCGGCGTTCGGTCGCGAGATCCATCCAAAAACTGGACTCATTGTCGGCCAAATTGCACAAAGGGACCAAAAAGTCGGCTCCCACAATCAAGGAAGAATTGAGGAATTGAAAATCGACTGCTGAGTTACCGGACCCGCATCGGTCCAATTCTGGACCAAATTCGGTCCTATTGAGGACCCCTCAATAGGACCTCAATATTGTCTCCTCCATTCAATTCGTGAAGAAGGGAGGCACATCAATTCAATTTGAACGTGACCATTTAACGATGCGTCAGAACGACACCATAAATAAATAAATGTCACTCATCCATCGCTCATTTGTCACCCACATGTCAACCAAAGGGAGCCTTGCTGCAATGTCCCCGCGTAGTTGCAGTTTTTTTTTTCCCTCCAAATTACTGCAACTTGCCGATGGAATTGAAACTTTTAGCAGCAAAAGAAAACTAATTGATTCAACTGACGGCAACCTTAGAATGAACTTGGAGTTGCCTCAAAGGCAGAGGGAAAATGTGACGAATGCGTGCAACGGTATTTTTGCGAGGAAAAGGAGCGACTTTTGAGCCAGAAGAAGCAATTGGGCAATTGGCAATCGACGACTGGCAATTGATCTCAAGGAGCTTCGCGCTCAGTTCGTCGCATAATATAACTCGTAACTTGCCTCTGCCTTCCACAGGGAATGGTCATGTACCATGAATGAAGAGTTGGATCTAACTTTGCCGAGAGAGAGAGGGGGTGAGAGAGGAATCGTAAGGCGACGAGTACTGCATGCCGTCATTTTCGCTCCTGCTCTCACTTTCCATAATGTGCTACCTGCATGTTTCACGGAGTAACAATGAGCAAAGAAAGGGAGAGAAAAGAAGGTCGCAGCGAGACTTCCCACCAGCTGCCTTGGGACAGCACTCGGCCACTCCGCGCTCTGTCGCTCCGACCCCAACCCTAGAGCCTCCAAGCCGCAGCGCAGATGTCGCGTCCATCGCACGCCTCGCCCCGCCTCGCCCTCAGTGCCTCCCCACGCCTCGCGACGGACGGAGCCGCCGCGGGAGGAAGCGAGGACTCAGCTGGCTCGAAGCCCTCACACGTGATTCTCACCTCTCAGTTCAACTTCCTTCACTTGTGATTAAAGTCGTTATCGACACGGAATCCACGTCTTCCATCGAGGATCGAGGAGGAGGATCGAGGTCAAGGACTTCGCACCCTTTCCTCGCTTAAGAGCATTTTCCGCGCTTTTCATCGTCAACCTCTTCGAGCTCTGCATCTCAATAGTCAAATCTTTGTTCCATCTCCCAAAAGTTCGCACTTCAAGAATCTCCCGCTCACCTCAGCCATGAATTGCATTCCTCGATCACCGCACTCCCACGTATCGAATCGACTGTGCTATAATGGCCAGCATTACCAATGCCACAGGTCCAAACGAGTCCAAACGAGTCCACTTTTTCTTTCCCATACAGTTTTCAGTCCTCGTTTGTCGGTACTTTTTGAGTCAAGCCCCCCCAAGAGACCGACACGACCACGACTAATTAACGCGACTAATTAACGAATTAAAAAAATCAGAACTTGCGACCATTGGCCAATTCGCGTCAGATTCTTTCCCAAAAAACCAACTTGAAACCGATCGCCCCTCATTTCCGTGAATTACCTTCCCCCTTTTTTCCCACAGGGTGATCAGCACGTCGAGGAAAATTAGTACCGACAAGTACTTCAGGTACGACTAAATCAGGTCGCAGCCCCCTGTCAAGTTTCAATGCAAATGAGATAAAGTTTGGGAAGTTTCATTTTCATCTACCGAAAATTCAATTATTATAAATCCCTCTCTCCAGCACGAATGATTTGTTTGATAAGTACAATTTTTTTTCAGTCCTTTCGAAGATGAGCATTTCAACATCCAAAAGGCGAGTCACAACAAATAATTTCTTTTCCGGAAGCATCGCTACATGGCAAATAATTATTTCTCATCTGCAATTAATTTTTTTTTTCTCCGCTCCAATCATCAAGCTCGACTGGGACGGAGACGAACGCCTCTTAAATACACTGTACAAGGGCGATTACAAGGGCGATTACAAGGGCGATTACAAGGGCGATTACAAGGGCGATTACAAGGGCGATTACAAGGGCGATTACAAGGGCGATTACAAGGGCGATTACAAGGGCGCTTACAAGGGCGATTACAAGGGCGATTACAAGGGTCTCCCGAGGTCGGGGGTGCGGAGTGTTGGGCGGAGGGGGAGAGATGGATGGTGATGGATGCGTTCGTGGGCTTTCGGTCTATCGTGGCTGGCACCCTATCTGTATAGCGTTGTCGGGCGGTAGAGTGAAACTGGAGACGAAGAGGGAGGGAGATATATTACAGAGGCATGGAGGCTTCTCATCAAGAGTACTCCAATGAGAGATGCTTCGAGGCGCTGGAATGGCATTAAGTCTTTCTTTGATTCGCGAGGCCTTGGGCGCCCTCGGGGCGGGTCTGCCTCCTAATCTGGACGAGGCGAGAAGGCCGAGCGGAGAGAAATTCGTCCATGCGTCGTTTTCCTCTTCATCTGGCGTTCCCATAGGTGCTATGGGGAAATGCCAGATATTGCGGTCGGTTTGTTTTCTTTGTTTTCCTTTTCGTGCCGTCTGCCCGCAGTAACCATAGCAACAGGACAACACGACCCTCTGCGCACGCGCATCTTTCAGTCTGGTTCGGGGTGTCCGTCTTTCCGCGAAAACATCCACTTTCTTTCCAGCCCTGCTCTCAGAACCCTGCTGCTCGATGCTCTCGGAACCCTGCTGCTCACGGTGACAGTTGAGTCTGCAGAGAGGAGTTTCTCCCACCTGAAACTAATTTAATACTAAGTTGAAGGACCTCACAAGAACGCCTGACGGGACTAGCCACACTCTATCGAGAGGGAGGTCAGCAGGTCATCGATTGACCAGAGAGTGATCGATGAATGTTCCCAAGGGTTCCGAGAATGCGGACGCCAAACCTCTGAAGAACCCACAGAAACTCCTCTTCTTTCCTTGCTTAGTGAACATGTACTGATTTTCACCTCTTTTCCCCTAATGTAACCTCGAAAATCGGGGGGAAAAAGTGAGGGAAAAAAATCAACCGAACCCAGAGGGAACCAGGAAACCCAACATTTTTTTTTTCCGGTTGCCGCAATTATTTTGCAAAATCGAAATGCAAAAGAAATCCCCCGATAAGAGGCGATAGATAGCCATTGCCCGACTGCCAATGTTTATTTTAGCCCGGAATGGCCTAAACTTCTCTCGTCCACGCCCAAATCGGTGCAGGCAATGGAAGCTTCGACCCGATCATTCATTGTTCTCATTTCCCTCCAAAAAACTGGCATTTTCATGATGGGGCGAGGATGCAAATGATCTTTTTCCAGGAAAGGAGGATGGTTTCGCTTAAAAAAACTAACAATGCAGGGGAGCCGAGGAGACAACAGATCGCATGTAAGGGCTACGTGCGGGGGAGGCCAGCACAACATGAAACAATCTCCGGCGACTGCTGGAGAGAGAGTGAGCAGAAAGCGTCCCCGCCCACCTTTTATATGGCCTTATGAAAATGTCTTAGAGGATTCCTATATATTCCTTT